CGAGACAGGGTTTATCCAGTGCGCATTCTCGAATATTGGTTGCGAGTTCCCTTGTCAACCAAAAAATAAAATAAAATCTTCTCTCTGTTTCTTTCTACAATTTCTTTTTTATCTGGATACTAAATCATCCCATTGAAACTACATATATAGAAATATAAATTTCATCTGACTTTGTGAATTATACCATCAAATTTGTATGTATTTGACAGCTTCCTCCCTCTTAGATATCCCACAATTCAATGCATGCCTGAACTGAAACTGTGCTCTAATTTTTTGTTTTTCAAGGCAAATTGTTATGTTAGGGCTGTCTTTTATACAATCAAACAGGAACCAACCCTTGGCATGATCTGTATTTTGTGTAGGTAAAGTTTTCTAGAAAATTTTTAGGCATCTAATTTACAGAGAACCTCGATGTAAAAAGCAGAAAGGGAGCATGTTTTGATAGAGTATTATTTGAAATAATTATTGTAGCATCTTTTGTGATATGATGTATATGAAATTAAAAAAAATAATTAAAAATATATAAAAATGGATTGAAAAATATATTTATAATACAAACGAAATATTATGCAGAATAATTCAGATATTCAAAGTCTCTCACGGAACATTTGGGCAAAACTAAAGACCAGAACTCTTCTTGTATCTTAGGTCAAAGTCAAACGAATGAAAGATAGCACGCACAATGGAAAAGACCATCTACTGAAGCTTCTATTCTAGTATTCTTCCCGTCATCACGCATACATATTTGTCAAACCATCATCCTCTTCAATCAATCATATATTCATATTTCGTAGACCAGCAGATTAAATACAATTGATTCCAGCAGCCCAAAGCTAAATACATAGAGAACTACTTAGTTCTTACAAAGAACCATTAGCTTAAGCATTAGCAAGATTAGCTCAGGCGAAGCTTTGCTAATCTATGATGCATTCCACAAATTTCCCATGATTTCAGAATCAATTAAGAAAAAACCCAATAATCTTTCTATCTAGTACAGTGCTAGAGTTTCAGTCTAGACATCTCTGATCTCATTCTGATAGCTGAAAAAGTGCACTCATTCAACACAACACATACACACATAGCTTCGAGCATCCGATCATATGGCGCCACAAATGCTGCTGCATCAGATTAACTACTTACTATCAGAACATCCGTGGATAGTCGGATTCCGGTGGAGCACAATCCAATTATGGGGGTCAACCTGGTCGTTTCTCATATTTTCCATCGCAACCTATCTTGCAGCATCCATCACTCTCCACCTCCTCCTCTACCTCCTCGGCCGGCAAAAGCCAGTTCCGCTGGGGCCGATCCCTGCTCTTCATAGCCTCCTGATGACGCTCTTATTCGTCACCATCTTCGCCGGAACTCTCTCCTCAGCAGCCGCGGAGATTCGCGACACCAGATGGTTCTGGCGGAGGTCCAAAACCCCATTTGAATGGCTCCTCTGTTTCCCACTGGGAACTCGTCCCTCAGGCCGCGTATTCTTCTGGTCATACATTTTCTACCTCTCTCGGTTCCTCCAAATTTTCAACACGTTTTTTAGTATTCTAAGACATCGTACACTTTCCTACGTCCACCTCCTCAACCACTCCACTCTAATATGCATGTCATTTCTTTGGCTAGAGTTTTCTCAATCCTATCAAGTTTTGGAAATTCTCTTGACGACCCTTGTTTTTGCATTGGTATATGGGTATAGATTCTGGACGGAAATTGGAATGCCCAAAGCCAATTTTCCGTTCGTGATCCTGAATTTCCAGTTTTTGCTGCTGGCATGCAATTTGGTAGGCCACGTTTGGGTGCTTCCGTTGCATTTCATGAAAGGAGGGTGCAATGGCATGGGGGCTTGGGGTTTCACTTCTTTGATAAACGGCATTGTTCTTTTGCTATTGTCGAAGTATTATGTTAAGGTCACTCGCTTGAGCAAACAAAGGTATCTTATTTCCCTCAAACAAGATAAAAAGCGGTGATCATCGATCGATCGATCGATCTGTTTTTTAAGTTATCTTTTGTTTTCCCTTGAGCGTTTATATCAATGGTCAATTGTTTTTTTTTTTTTGTTGCTATATATGTAGATCATGTGACATTCGGATGTAATTTTATCTTGTTGTCACTTCATATATTCAATTCAAAGAGAAAAGGAAAAGTCCTATGTTTCTTGTTCAGAGAATCTAGTAACTATGAGAAATCAAAGGCTATATATACTATTTCATTGTGAAGTCTGGAAATTTTTCGAAGAAGAAGCTTCCACGTCCTAGCCCCCTTGAAGCTTTCAACCCTGCAAAATTAGCCATGTGAACTGCGGTGGTTTCTTGTACATATTAATTAATAGACACTACTAATTTGAAAATTCCGCTCCTAACGAAATTATTCAATTTGCACTTTCCTGGGAACATTCCAGTTGGCCTAGCCTGTTTACTTTTCTTCTGTATGTATAATGGGGATTCCGATTCACTGATTTTATCTGATCTTTCAACGAATATCAATGTTTTCATGTCGTTTCTTTCTAAGTGGTAACAAGAGAATCAAACGTAAGACAAAGAGATCACCTTTAAACTTAGCGACAAAAGGTAGTACTTGTTTTAACATCAAAATAGAGATTCCACATGAAAATGAAATGGATTTTTGGTGTCTTCTTATATATATGGCTCGTTTGGCAAACAAGTTTTTGGCCAAATTTGTCTGTTATAAATTTTTTAACAACTTTAACTATAGTAATCTCAAAAAAAATTTCAAAAATTTTAAACTATACACTTAAAAATATCTAAAAATTTACGCACTTCCAAAATTTTTCCTACGACTTCTACAGTAAATACAGTAGAGTTTCAGACAAGCGTCCAAAAAACTCATTTGCCAAACAGTGTCATAGTTACAACTTACAACACAAAACTGATAGTGTTGTGATCTTAACTGATTGACAAGATCCGGAAATGCTCAAACTGCAAAGTGTCCAAACATCAACAAGAGTTGAGATCGCAACTCCAAAGGATTAGTTTTATACGAGGCCTTTGACTGGCGAGTGGCGAATCGGCTTCTAGCCGTTTAGCACTTGTGCACGTTCGTTAGTCAGGAAAGAAGACGACGTATATAATTGTCATCCATTACGTTGATGAGGTAACGTACGTAAAGGAGATTGTTCCTTTTTTTTTTTTTTTTTTTTGATTCAAGGGAAGGGAGTGCAACACATGTCATTGTAAAAGCTACCCAAAATTTTTAAAATCTTTGATGGCGAATTGGAATACAATAATCTACTTACTTCTTCTTGCTTTGTTTTGAATTGTCTCAAAAGGGTGAAGCGCAGGAAAGAAAAATAATGATAATGAACTGCAGCTGATGAGAAAGACGAGGACGTCCACCCAAATTTATTTTACTTCTTGAAGGCAATAGTCATACTTGGAATCATAGAGTTTGAATGATCAATTGGAATAATAATTGTAAGATTTGTTGTTTTGAAGTCCCAAAGACGACAAAACGACTCTGTACCTACGATATTCTTCATGATTTTTTGGGCAAGCATAATATTGAGTTCCAGGATCTGTCTCTCAAAGCAGAAAATACCTGTTACACCAGTTATCCTATCCGCATGTCGATAAACAAAAGTTTGGCCTCGTTCTCAATTGCTTTTTTTTTTTTTTTTTTTTTTTTAAGCGTAAGTGGGGATCTCTCACTTGTACTCCCTTTCTTCCGGCATCCAATATATCCCGATTCTTTTTTGCTTTGATTGTACAATAGTCATATTAAAAATCCGAATAAAAAATTACTAATATAAGTGTTTCTGATTTGCTGCCTTTCTTGAGCCTTAAAAAAACCCAAATTATAATCAAAAAGAGGTTAAAAAATATAAAAAATTTCTTTTTTCAAAATGAGAATCTAAAATCAGTTGCCAATGAGGCCTTCATCATGTTTTTGGAAGGGAAAAGAAAGGAATTGAAGGACCAAATTACCAAGAGAGTCGTAAATTCATGCTCAATTGTTTGGTGATACATGATAAATAAATAAGGTATGTTGAAAAGCAAAATTGAGAATAACCATTTTGAAATTACGAGAAAATGGTAGAAAGAGGGACAGCTCATCATAGTAACATCTTAATCAAAATTTCTAATACTTTGCAATCCACGCCCCCCCCCCCCCAAAAAACAAATCTTCTACACTTTGCTAACAATTGCTTTTGTAACCATTGTCAATACATGACACATATGTATATGTGTATGTAAATGTATGTATAATTAAATTTAAATAGACATTAATCCTTGATTTTGTAGTCTATCGTCTTTTAAGGAAAGCACATTCTATCGGATTCGATTATTGGAAGTTGGAACAAGCTTTCATCAAACTTTAATAGTATAAAGCATTAGAATCGGGGAAGGCGTTCCTTGAGATCCACTTTAGTGAAAAAACTACTACTAACTACTAAGTTCCTTTTGCCCCCACGTGAATGGGCTGGTGGTTGGCGCCTCTTCCTCGGGACCGTTAGGTCCTGGGGTCGAACCTCCGCAGCAATATCAGTTCGCCGTGCATTTAACGTGCTAGGTCCGGTTGGGGCGCTGGGCCGGGCCGAAGTGAGGATTAGTCGGGCCGCCTTTACGGACTTGACCCGGACACCCCACTCCGTCGACAAAAAAAAAAAAAAAACTACTAAGTTCCTTTTGGATTACGTACTACAACTAATAATCAAGCAAAAATCGCACCCTTAATATGCCGGCCAATCAGTCTCTGACCACTCAAATTTGTTCTTCCAATCATTGACTTCTAACTGCAACAGCCAATGGTATCAATTAAAAATCTAGACCTCATCACACCAGATAGTTTCTCTAACGTTTTCCAAGATTTAACATCGGCCCTTACTTGCATAGGCAGAATAGGAATAGACAACTCTCTGTTACATTAGAAGTCTCGAGAGATTCAGGAGAAGCCTTCTTAGCTTCATCTTCAACAATCTTCACACATCAAATCCTCTTTGCCGTTATCTTCTTCTTAGGTAAATTCCTTCTTTTAAGCTTATACATGTCTATGTGTATAATGCAGCATGTAGTTGTATAGATAGACTTCTTCCCTTTGTGTCTTTCTTGAATTCTTCAATGCATATACTGCTGTCTTATTTTCTCCTCTGTCAATGGAATAAATGGATGCCAGCACTGTAATTAAATGACTTGAGAAGCAGAATAGAGAATTTGCTGATGTCTATAATCTCGATTACTGGTGGGGCTTTTTTTCTTTTGTAAGATTCCAGGGGTTTGGTAGATATTAGATTGGTGACAATTTGATTTGAGGTCTTAACTTCAGAACTTTAGAACTTCAGATATCAGATACAGAACTGAATACGGCAACATTTTCCCGGAGAAACCCTGTAAATTAAAGAAAAGGTCAAACTTGAATTTGATATGCTCAATTCCTTGTCCTTATCGAAATCTGTAGTAGCAATAATACTTGTCTGCATTGTTTCTTGGACGGCTGAATGTTTTGGAATTATGCTCGATTGGAACTAGTAATGGATGGAAATCTGTGGATCAATGATTATGTCCTACATTTGTTAAAGAAGAGCTCCAAATCGATTGTAATACAAGCGTTCCTGGGTCCAACTAATTAGAGTCGCTTGTCCTCACATGCTATTGGTGGCCTCAGTGATCTGGATTTTAATCTGAGTTTAAGAAAATAATTACCTGCTCATGATAATTTTGGGGAATGGTGAACCTGAAGGATGGGAAAAACGAATGACAATTCTTTGTGAAGGCTCATATCTAGAGGCAAAGCATGAAGATTAGTCTTTTAGATCAAAATTTAGGCTCATTAGGTACCAAGCCTGTGACAAGAAGTAAAATTTGTCAGACAAAATTGTATTAAAGGATATGCACCTTTTGTTTGTTATAGCAGATGCATGTATAGGGCTTTAGGAAAATTGTGATTGCCTACTCATTTGAAACAATAATGGAAAATGACAGGAGAAAATAGCAAGTGTTATGCTTCATGCAATGAAAATATTGTTATGCAAAAAAAGGGATAGACAGAGAGTATTTATTTCTCATTTGGTAATTGGCTCTGTGGAAGAATCTTAATATTTGTTTACTGAATTTGATGGACGAAAGGGCTAAAATTGAGCATGTGAAAGTGGAGAACCATCGGTGTCACAAAATAGCCAATTCAGAAGTTTTTCATCTAAAATGGTTAGCACATACTTGTGATTTTCAGATACAGTCTGAGCTGGAAAGACTATTCATTTTGTATTGTGATCAAATTTAGTGGAAAATCATAGCGGATGAGAGTTTATCAATACTTCTGATGAAATTTGGCCGTAAACTCTCTTTAGCTTGTTGGATTGAATGAGCATGTTAATCTAAATCATATAAAAGAACATGCAGAAGATTCCATGATATTGAGTATCATGCTGTATGGCAAAGATTATATCATCTCTAGTTTGGATGATATTCATGTTGTCTGAATAACTTGTGGGCACAATTCACTTCATGTCGTTTTCGGGAAAGCAATTTGTCTGGAAGATTATTTGTGATAATGTATGACAAAGATAACATGTGAAACTCAAGAAGCTGAATACACATAATTATTCTCATCACAGAAGTAAATCAGTCCTGAAAATTAGTATAAGAATTAGAGAAAGTGTAGGCTTACTCCATTTATTCTGCCACTTGATTGTGATTTCTTTTTATGTCCACATTATCAAGAGAAGTCAGTTACCCCATCATTGAACATCCCTGACATCGGCTTCTTAAGATTATTAACCTAGATAGTGATATCCATGCCGAATGAAAGTGGCATTTTTAGTTCATGCATGCCTCGATAGCCACACAAAGTATTCTGATACTGTGGTGTAACAGGAGCTCTCTTATCTTCATTGGAACAGGTGGTAACATTTGACTACTTCCTAAATTTTCTATTTCATCATTTTTGCCGCAGATTTAAGCTCCATGATTCATACTTTTGCTGTGCCTACTGGTGAACTAATTGGCCACCTCATCCTTATTTTGCATTTATCAGCTAAGTAATTGGAGAGTTTGAAGCTGACAGGACATATGGATATTCGCCAGGACCCCAACTCTACCAATCAATTGACCCCTCTGAGGATTATCAGGGGTTTAGCATGCTTAGTGGTTTTTATTTCCTCTGCATTCATGTTTCTGGTGTACTTTGTACCAGTATGTGTTGGGATCTTACGCCTTTTGAATGTGCATTATAGCAGGAAAACTGTATCTTACCTTTTTGGTCTTTGGCTTGGTCTATGGCCATTCTTCTTTGAAAAAATAAACAGGACGAAAGTGATTTTTTCTGGAGAGACTGCTCCAGAAGGGGAGCGTGTTTTGCTTATTGCAAATCACAGAACAGAGGTTGATTGGATGTATCCATGGGACCTAGCACTGCGGAAAGGGTGCCTGGGACACATCAAATATGTACTCAAGAGCAGCTTGATGAAACTGCCAATTTTTGGCTGGGGATTTCGCATGTTAGAGTTCATTCCAGTGGAGAGAAAATGGGAATTTGACGAACCAATAATGCATCAAATGCTTTCATCTTTTACGGACCGTCGGGATCCATTGTGGCTAATTGTCTTCCCTGAAGGCACTGATTTTACGTAATGACTTATCATCTTTCTCCTCCGTAATCGATGATTTAGGTTCATCTGACAGATCAATATTAGTATCATCCTTTTCTCCATGCTTTTTTATTTTATTTTTCTTGTATCTTTGTAGAGTTTAGAAAATGTTTATTTATATTATAGGCATCGCTCATTAGCAGTACCTATATTATTGCTCATCATTTGTCTAAAATTTTCTGGTCTTTAGGAATTAATGAAGGATTTTTCATTGAATATAAAACAAAACATTCACTATTTGGTAGGTAATTTGCATGTAGCAGGGCATTGCTCTAAGTTTGTCTGTAAGAGATCTAAGCTGTCATCGTAGTTCATCTAATTTTTACTAGTACACGGCTTTCTTCTTGTCCAGTGAGCAGAAGTGTAAGAAAAGTCAAAAATTTGCCGCTGAAAATGGCCTGCCGGTGTTGAGTAACGTGCTGCTTCCAAAGACGAAGGGATTCCATGCTTGTTTGGAGACCTTGAGGCTCTCCTTGGATGCAGGTATTTCTTTGTCCTCGTCAACCTTTGCTCAGTGTCTGTGATCCTTAAGTATGCAATGATTGGCCGTGTCTTTTGAAGTGTTACTGATTTTTAGCTGTTCTGAGCACTTGTTGACTTCCCCAATGCAGTTTATGATCTGACTATTGCCTACAAGCACCGATGCCCTACTTTCTTGGACAATGTTTTCGGTGTTGAACCTTCTGAAGTACATATTCATGTCAGGCGCATTCCTATTAGGGAGATACCACCATCTGAAAAGGATGTAACAGCATGGTTGATGGACACATTTCAGTTGAAAGATCAGCTTCTCTCTGATTTCATTGCTAACGGTCATTTCCCTCATGAAGGAACCGAAGAAGAGCTTTCTACACTGAAATGCTTCATTAATTTTGCCGCAGTAAATGTTATCACTGGCACATTTACATATCTTACTTTTTTCTCATCCATTTGGTTTAAAGTCTATGTTGCTCTAGTCTGTACATATGTTGCTTTTGCTACTTATTTCAGTATTAGACCATTTACAGCTCTTGATTTTGCTAAAAGATTGTCAAGGCACAAGAAAGTTGCCTAGACTAAATTTTCACTGCAAAAGCAGTACCTTTAGCAGCCAGTATCATGGTAACTCTTGATAGCTTTTCCTTTCACTTAAATTGCAAACTTGTCACTGACAATGCAGAGTTTTCTTCGTTTCACATGACCGTCTTATTGGTGGCCCGGTTTGATTTTTGAAGTATTTTTGGACTTAGTCACAGATTAAGATGCTGATGTTTTCAGGCCAGACCATAGCTGCCGACATTTATTCTTAACAGTTTTCCTGGAATTGTTTAGATGAATATTGTATTGTGATCAAACTTTTTTCTTTTCTTTTTTTGCACATGAAACCGGGGGCTGAATATCCAGTGATACCAAGTAAAAATTGTTATTTATGGGATAAAAAACATTAAAAATGGGTACTCACATGGTATCTGTCATTAAAAATGAGTCCTCACATGATTGTTTCATCTACCCAAGAGAATAGCCCAAAAGATTAGGGCGCTGTAGCTTAACAATCATCGAACCCCAAAGCCTGCCTCTGGCCCAATGAAATTAGCTTGATTTAATCCTCATTTTCCTGACACCAGCTATGATCTATCCGTAGTTGAGCAACACAAGTTGGGTTGAGACCGCGTAAGGAGGACGATTTCTCCCGACATCTATTTTTTCATTTACAAAAACTCGAACTCGAGACCTCACTTAAGGGAAATCGAACTTCTTGCCATTGGTGAAATTTTAATTTTTGCAAGTGGACTAAACATCAGGCCCATCTCTTATCCTGTGCCTAAAGTAAAAGAACCCTTGAAACATGCTAATATAAGGGGGAAAAAAAAAAGGAAGGAAAAATTCATTTTATACCAAGTAAAAAAATCTTTGCCCATATGATTTGGTGGTTTGACTTATTAACCATTTCACTCTTGTCGCAAAACAAGAGTTGATTCCTTGTCACGCATCCAGTTTGGATAAACGGAAGAACTGTAGCAGAAAGGACCTAATACAGGATAAGAGATAGCCAATCAAACATTCTTTGCATGTCTTTGGTTTCTGTGGTTCTACGCTTTGCGGATGAGAATTTTTCTATTACATCTTTGTTTTGTCAAACCTAACTCAATAACTAAACAATGGAAAGGGAAAGGGAACCTAACCTTAACAGGCCATGTAAGAAATACAAGATCCAACTAAGACGCTACATGTTTTCCTTTTTGCCAACGAACCACAGAAGAACTACTTGTCGTTTCAACAATGACAATTTTGTCACAAGTAGCCATTGACAATTTATTAAGGCTCCGTGGTCTGCCTCAATTTTGCTTTGTCTAAAAGTAGTTGGTTCATTTTCTCGATCCCTTGGAGGAAGGGGAGGCAGATACTACTCAAGGATAATTGCACTGCATTGTTAAAAAAGAAAAAAAAACATTGGGATTATTGAACTTTAATTGTAGGAAAACGTTTTTACACGTGAAATGTTGAGATAGCAAGCTGATCCAAGAACGTAAGTAAAACTCGCATCCGGACGACAACTGAAACGCGGATTCGCATCAGCATTAATCTTAAAGGCGTGAAGTCAATATTTGTGGGACTCCTTAATCTGTTGGGTTGACTCATTGATATGTTGGGTTGGGCGAACTAACGATTTTTTTTTTTTTTTTTTTTTGTCAACACAGGGGTGTCCGGATCAAAACCCGAAGGCGGCCCGACTAATCCCCTGCGCCCAAGTACACCGCCACCCCAAGCGCACCGGGAGTTAAGTGGGATTCGACCACTTGACCTTGGAGTTCCGGAAGAAGCCCAAGACCAGATGGTCTAGCCCCGGGGGCCGAACTAATGATTGAGAGTGGTTTTTTTGACTCTTTGAGTTGTGGTACCGGCGAACTGCTTTGAAGCAATAATAATTAATTACTGGGTGGGTAATGGGTATGGGTTGCTAGCCCGCAGGCTAAGGAACTTCTTCTATTCGTCTTGGTTCTGAGCGTCTCAATATTAAAAGATGAAATGCAAAGAGTTTTACTTTCACAAGTTTTATACCAAAATGTATGTGTACACTATTATTATTCTGTACAGTGCCAAACGCGACATCTTTGCGTGACAAGTTGCACACAAATCAAAATGGAAATCTTTGCATGATCCTTGTCATTATTTACTCGTTTTGAATTCAAGAAATCCAAACTGCAGCTCTCAGAAAGGGCGTCCAACCCACAACAACGGCTTCTTTCCATGCAAAGATCACTTCATTAGATCTTTAACATTGTCAAGATAGACTATGCCTTTTTTGTTAGTTTAATCATCCATCATGTTATTATGACAATTAATGCCTTTTTGTTTATTCAATCATATCAATCATCCATGTTATTATACATGTCATTCACAAATAAGTCATGTGACATGCTTTTTGACCGTTTCTAATCAGAAAATAAAATTTAGGAAAATGGCAAGACAGAGGATGCATTCGATAAAATTGAAATGTAAAATCTAAAATTTGAAGTCTGAATTCATTGAATCACTTAATTGTTAAGTACTAAATTTGATACCTTTGAATTATATCACGTTAAGTGATAAATGAATAATTTATCAGTTATTTTTTGGAGCAAATTTTGTCCAAGAAATTCAGTGCAACTTAATTAATTAATTCAAATATTCTATTTTTTGTTATCAAACGCGTTTGAAAATATTAAAATCTGAATTGATTAAATTTAAGTGCTAAATTGGGTTATCAAACAGGACCAAAGTTGGATATTAATTTTTTTTTTTTACTATTTATTGAAACCTCAATATAGTTTCCAAAACACTATGCTAATCCTCTTCCTCCCCCCCCCCCCTCTTTTTCTTCTCTCAATCCAATTTAGTTTTTGCTTAGAAAGGAAGGGAGACGGGGGAATTAGTTCTGTAAGTTGCAAAAAAAGATTACTTTAATTTGCAGTTTTGTGTTAGATGGTACGTACCAAGCATTATTAAAATAATGATATCGCAACAATTCTTGACTGATATATGCATTAATTATATCGCAATTCTTGAATGATACGTGCATGAAATTCGGCTCTCAACCAGAAGAAATTGAAACATCTTAATTACACACACACTAGGATGCGGTTATTAAATCCTCCAGATATCATGTTGGCGAACCAATTTTGACGGGCATTGCCTATTCTTGCAATCTTGCTTAAATGGTATCCACCAACATTAATTAAACGGTATCCACCAACATTAATTAATTAATTAATTAATTAATCAGAAAATGGCCACAAACATAAGGAAATGGGGAAAGTGGGGTCTAAACGTGTAATCTAGGGAGGTGACCATTTTTCGTATTTATAAAAGGGCAACTTTCTAAGTTTACGTTCACGATCCCAACTATACACTAACCAACCACATCAGGAATTCTCTCGCTTCTTCTCTCTTTTCCGGTCTCCTGCTAGAGCTAACCAATGGCTGGTTCCCTAAACTTGGCTCTTCTGCTTCTGCATCTTCTCGCATTAGGTAACTTCTCCACTGCAAATCTTTCATCTGTATTGGGTGCCAAATTTGTTGCCTGTGTAACTAATTTACTTTTCTTGATATGCTCAGAATAAGGCAAAGATTATGTTCCATTATTGTGGTCTTTTCTTTCAATTGTACCGTTGTTTCACAAAGATGAATTCAATCATTGTTCAAGAAACGAAATTGGCTAAATGGTTGTCATTGAACTTGTCTTCAATGGCTACATTTCCGTGCCTTCGCGGTCTACTGCCATTTTACCAATCATTTACTGGGCTTCCAAACAAACAACATAGACTTCCTCTGGGTGTCCAATAAAATTACAACTGCTCCGAAATTGGATTAGAATTAGAATGGAAGAGAGCTGCAACTCCAGTGAAATAGTACTATTCATTTTCATTTCTAATAGAGCCCAAAGACGTCAAGATTGCAGACAGACACCGCACGTTTTTTTAGAATGTATGCACTAAAACTTAGAGGATAAACCATCATGGATCGATGGGTGATTGATCTCACATTTGCAGGAACCATGACTAGTATTGTTTCAGCAACAGTTTTCACGCTCCAAAACAGTTGCAGCCACACGGTCTGGCCGGGGACCCTCTCCGGCAATGGGGCGGCAATTCTGGGGGACGGCGGTTTTGCATTGTCCCCCGGTGCAACCATCCAACTCTCAGCCCCAGCTGGCTGGTCCGGCCGTTTCTGGGCCCGTACCGGGTGCAACTTCGACGACTCCGGGCACGGCAGCTGCTCCACAGGAGACTGCGGTGGACTGAAATGCACTGGCGGTGGTGTACCACCGGTAACCCTGGCAGAATTCACCATCGCCAACGGAGACAATGCCAAGGACTTTTACGACGTCAGCCTCGTAGACGGGTACAATGTAGGCCTCGGCATCAGGCCGTCCGGTGGCTTGGGTGACTGTAACTATTCCGGCTGCGTGGCGGACCTCAACCAAAACTGCCCCAAGGAGTTGCAGGTCACGGACTCAGACAAGGTGGTGGTCGCATGCAAGAGTGCATGCGACGCTTTTAACACTCCTCAGTATTGCTGCACCGGCGATCACTCGACGCCGGACACTTGCCCGCCAACTAATTACTCAAGGAAGTTTAAGGAAGCCTGTCCTGCTGCTTATAGTTATGCATACGATGATGCTTCGAGTACATTCACTTGTGCAGGTTCCGACTACCTGATCACATTCTGTCCCACCGGATAGACTTAGATTAGATGAAATATATGCTTGAAATAGTTATACAGACTTGATCATTGTAGGATTTTGATTCAAATCTTTCATGAATAAATTATTAATTTATCGAGGGTATTTATGATTCAAAAAATACTCATTTAATTAGCTTATAAAGTTTTATTTTATAAGAATATGAATTGTTCTATTAATTGAAAGAGGCTAAAAGTTTATAGAATGTAAACCAATCCATAAACTGATATATTAAATTAATTAATAGATGTCCACTTTCATTTCATTTTATTGAATGCATAGAATGAATCAGATTAACAATATATTATGCATATAAATAACAACGAAATTTTCTCATAATAAATAGATACAAAATCTTCTTACATATCTCATTGTTAAATTATGGCTTGCCATTTAAAAGGTGTTAACTAACAAAATGCAGATCCAAGGTGGATTAATAAAATGCAGTGGGTTTCTAGGAAAACAAACAACAGT